GAAGCACCAACAGTTATTCGTTTAATTTTTTAATAGTGTTGCTGCCATCTATGGATGAAAATAGAAGAAAACAAAGAAAACGAAATGTTCATTTTTTGTTGAAGAAGCAAATATATAATACATAGAGTTAGTGAGTGTCTCCGTATTTTTAGAAAACACAAAGGTAGGAATTTTAAAAAGCACTAATATGAGTAAGTTTTGAATACTTTGACGTCGTTCTCTGCTTGCCCTTATGTTGGCAGAGAAATAGCAAGACCGATGTAGTTGGATCGTTTAGATAGTTGTTAAGTTTCTGGCATAATCTCATTTAATTTCACAAGTAGTAAATATTAGTTATAATATTTAGTACATTATGACTTACATTCGTTACTAGATAACTTATGTAGCATATGCAACCATAGGCCTACATAAATACTTGTAAATAATCCGTGTAATGACATCAACAAAATAAGATTTCCTCAATTATATCTTAAATAGTCACCAGTAAACCAAATTTTAACCCATTAAAGTATAAGTAGAGGACCAAATAAATGCTATATTTGGCAGTATGACTTTAAGAGGTAAATAATAATAATAGTAATAAAAAGTAATCTTAGGTTGCCATATTGTATGTTAAGTGTTCACTGGCGAATGGAAGACTGCCATAGAATAAGTATGTCTGCTAATGAATTTAAAAATTTTGCAGTTTTGTAAACAAAACCGTCTGGTGAAATTATAAGACCCTCTAGAGTATACAATGCATCATTGAAATGACAATTTCCCTGTAATTCCGCAAATTAAACAACAATAACAAATAATGATAATGCCACTGTTTTAATGCACCCTTCATTGCATAGGCCTAATGGCGCCTCGTCAAAATTTACAAGTTAATTAACACTGGCGTCATTAGAAGTCTTATTAAAAATGCATCATTGAATGTTTCTTTGTGCACTGTGATGCTTCATTGAAACTTGCAAGTAAACCCCGAGATGTGACACATTATTTGAAAGTGTACTAAATTTCAGTACTTCTTTATTTACGTACGATACTTAAAAAATATAAGTAAGATCTCAAACGTCATATGCCATTTGAAAACGTATTTAGAGTTGATTACAAATCCCTAAATTCCAGTGTCTCCTATGTCGTATGCCGAACATCAACCTTTACGCTTGTTGTTGTTTTTTTTAGTGCAAAGACACGCAATAAGCTATCTCCACTTTGTTCATCGAGGGGAATCTAACCCACAATTTTTGTGTTTTAACTCCATAAACTTATCGTTGACCCACCGGGATACTTCCACGTTTGAGGAAGTTAACTAGAAGAAATAAATAGCATGCTAAGCTGTGAATATTCATAAGAATTTGTTAGTAAGTGATATAAAGACTTAAATTTTCGTAAACACAGTTTCCACATCTCAATTTGCCAACTGAGATGAACAGTGTAAATCAAGCATGAATTTACTTTTTATTGAATAACTTCATACTCTCCGGTACCTCAGCGTAAGTCTTAGGTCTTATAATGCGAAAAATTGGGTTTTGATACCTGCGATGGGCAGAGTACAGTTATCCCATTCTATAGCTTTGTGCTTAACAACAAACAAACAAACAAAAACACCCAATAACTGCATTGATTCATTTCTAAATATATATAATAAATTTCTTCCTGTTTAAATATATATATAAGTTCACTCATATTGCAATTGGTACAACAAAATATAGCATGCAGTTAGTACATCTTATAAAAAATAAAACAAATATCTTATTGATGAAACATGACAACCTACACATTTAAACACGCAATACTACTATGTATCGTACAGTCTAAACAAGGCACGTATGATTTCTTGCTAACAACATGGCAACCGAATCAAACGTTACAACGCTTAGTAACAAGACTACCCGCATCGGTTTTATCACTATTATTTCTATTATACACCATTTAGCGGTAGTTTCTTTCTTCGTACCTCCAGTGGCAAAGCGGTATATCTGCGGATTTGTAAAGCTAGAACCGGGTATCAATACTCGTGGTGGGCAGAGCACAGATATCCCATTGTGGAGTTTTGTGTTTAATTACAAACAAATTCTATCTTTGCCTTGTGTTTTTTTTTTTTTTTTGCTGCCATCTACCTATGAAATCCGAAATTAGTATTTAGTTTTAGAAGTGTTGAATTGGACATTTATTTATGTTGTAAAATATTGCTATGTAGATAACTACGTGATTGTCTTTGTGTAGATTAGAATATATTCCTGGTGAAGAACGACAAAAAATGCAATACAAAGAGAAAGTGAAAGATGGAAGGAAAACTACTGAAAAGCTAGAAAAAGGTACATAATATTACAGCAGGTTTAATTTTTATTATTTACCACAAAGCTGCACAATTGGCAGCATGTGCTCTGCTTACTGCAGGTATTGAAACTCGATTATTAACGTGATAAAACGTGCCTCATACTTACTGCAGAGGCACTATGGATATTATGGCAGGTTAAAATAAATAAAAAAATGCTAGTAAAACAGAAGCTTAAAGGCGTACGTTAACAAAATCTCAGAGTGTATAAGGCAAAAACAACAACAAACGAAAGCAGTGAAAAATCATACTGAAAAGGTAAGAGAGAGACGTCTAGTAAAGTTTAATGCCCTTACCTTTAGAAAATTTTATTCAAATAACTTATGTGCTTCCATCTATTGACAAAGCAAATAAATTAACCACTAAGATAAACCTAACGGTTAATAGTAAAAAAAAACCACAACAACAACAAAAAACTGTTTTAAGGAAAATCTTTTCACTCTAAAAATTTAATAAATGAATACTTTTCACATTTATTTAATTAAACAAGCCAGGAGTAAGAACGTGTCAAAGTTTCTATGCCGACTATCTCAGCAAACATATTAACGTATTTGTATATTTCGTTAGAATATAGCCTTTACGCTAAAGCTGTAGATATATCGTGTCAATAAAAGAATACATATATAGGCTCTTTTACAATTTTTGCACCTATAAGGCTATACCAACTAGTTGTTTAGTGAGAATATCACAATTCACAGTCGAAGCCCAAGTAGTGAATTTAAAATCTTGCCACTGCAACGAAACATCATAAAATTATTGGTTATGAAATACCAAAAAGACAAATATAACTTGAAGAGGAGAATAATATGGACGTTAAAAAAATATAGACCACGTTGTATAAATAGAGTGAAAAGATGCAATAACCATCCACCTTAAAACCAAGTCAGTGATACGTATATAAAACAGAATATATATTTCTTCACTGCAACATAATAAGATATATATATATATATATATGTGAAAAACACGCATCATGCCAATGTTATCATCCAACATTACTATACATGTTGATTCATTGGTGATTCTCTGTAAGTTTTTATTGCTTTCTTAACTATTATTGGCAAAAAAAAATCACCTTTGATCTTTCTTACCTATTCGGGTGAGTTTTATCGCTACTGTATAGATGGCAGTAACTTGAGATTCTGAAGAAGTTCATCAGTAGTAAAGGACATTATGATCGTGTAAGGGCTATTGCAATGATGCTTCAGAGTCCTTTTCCAAGAAGAATTGAGAGAAATACGATTTACTTTATTTCAAGACATTTTAAAATAGTATGTTTTTTTCATGTCATAATTCATCCAAAACAACAGTTAAAAAAGTGCGTGTTAAATCTAATTATACTTGTTGTATCAGGTTATAGAATTTCCTATTTTTGACTTTCATTAACTGTTTGATTCTACACGGTTTTTGTGAAACAAATGGTTGTAAAATGCATGTCGCATACGTTAAATTGCGTATTTTAAAATTCGGGATGCTTCACTGTTTTATTTAAATGCGTTTAGAAATGATTGTAGTTAATAATTAAGTATTTCTGAAAATGATACGCGACAATCTGTATACAAAAAAGAAATTAGAGTATCATTTTGTATCAGATCGTTTTTAGGCTTAAAATAGTGTAAAATGATACATATGTTTAGGTGTTTAGAAATTAGAGATACTAAATACAGTTGAGGATCTGTAGAGTGTTTAGAAACCGGTAGTTGAAACAGCTTATAGTGTAGTTGATAAAAGATGTTTTGCTATCACATATGTTTAGGTGTTTAGAAATTAGAGAGACTAAATACAGTTGAGGATCTGTACAGTGTTTAGAAACCCGTAGTTGAAACAGCTTATAGTGTAGTTGATAAAAGATGTTTTGCTATCACATATGTTTAGGTGTTTAGAAATTAGAGAGACTAAATACAGTTGAGGATCTGTACAGTGTTTAGAAACCCGTAGTTGAAACAGCTTATAGTGTAGTTGATAAAAGCTGTTTTGCTATCACATATGTTTAGGTGTTTAGAAATTAGAGAGACTAAATACAGATGAGGATCTGTACAGTGTTTAGAAACTGGTAATGTAATAGGAATCCTAAGTGTACTTTAACCAGAAAGATAAAGGCCTGAAGAGGAGAGAACAACACTCCGTTCTTTGTAACAAAAAGTTAAATGCTTGAAGAGGGGAATACACCCCGTTCGTTGAAACAAAAAGATAAAGGCCTGAAGAGGGGGAACGACACCCCGTTCTTTAAAACAGGAGTATAGAGTCTTAAAGAGGGGGTACGATACCCAATATTTTTAGTAGATAAATAAAGGCATGAAAAGGGGAGGGATAACAAACACCCCTTTCTTTGCCACTGGTTTGATGAAACTTCGAAGTAGTTGAACTTGAGAATAATGATTGTAAAATTTTATGGTAGTCGAATAAGTCATGCCAGGGTTATCTTCGGTTAAGACTTTTTAGCCAATAGCATGGTGTCATTTTAAGAACAACCAATAAAATTCATCGAACGAGCAGTGGTAGTTGACTGTTGCTTTCAAAAAACCTTTAACAGTTTTCTACGTGCTTACAGTTTCAAAGTATGTATAAACGCTGAAAGTTTTGGTAGTCTACTTAGTTTACAAAACATCGTTTCATGGAATAAGTAACAAAATTCTGCTTGTCTCATGGTGTAAAGAATGTAAAGCATGTGTCCCATGTTGAGCAACATGAAGAAGAAATTCCAGGAGAAGATGTCTGGAGCACAGATAATGTTCCACGCCCAGGTTGAAAACATTAGAAATCCTTCAATATAGAAAGTATATATATATATATATGCTATTTCTAGAAGTACATATGAAAAATTTGGCAAAGAAGTCAACTAGTCCTATTGTATAAGTTATATTTCACAATACTTTAAAGAATACTAATTATTGTCTTACCTGTATACTGGCATATTTTTTGTTAACTATGAGTTATGTTAATATTTAGATGACGTCACTTTTTTCATCTTTTTCTCTCCTAATTCACCTATCTATCGGTCGGTCTACGCCTTAATATTTTTGATAGTTTTCGTGTTAGGTATTGAGTTACGAATTCCATGGGTAAAAAGGCCTTGAATCAATCGCTTACAACAATTATTATGTAGTCAAACTTATGTCGTTGTACTTTACTTGCCAGATCTCTATATTATAACTGGTAATGTAAAATCTCGATAAGTATTTTATTGTTTATTTGAATCACGTATTTTCCAGTTATTTCTTAGTACAAAATAACGTTAATGAGAACGAAAATATAACGTATTATATCATATTTAAAAGTTTTTAGGAACTCCGTGTGTTTTGAAAAAATGACAGACCCACGATATGACACAGATTGTCTCCTGAATACACAAACCTACCGAAAATAAGCAGCAGGTGCATAAAGAGAATTCCTCTCCTGGTATTGGGCGCCAGGTAAGAGACACAAAAACAAGTGTTAGCCAACTGAAATAGGATATGCTGTGGCCGTTGCCATGACGAACACGGCAGAAGTCCAACCTCCAACTCTGTCTCATTGGCGAACAACGACGTTCCCTCGTGCAGGTTACTCTCATTAAAAATCGTCAGGAAACTCTGAGATGGGATCAGCGGCGTAGACGGTGGAATCATAGTACTGCCTTCCCTTACGGTTGTCATGGATACTTCACTATCCTTCAATTTATATTGTATCCAATAACAATTATGCTTAACGATTTACGTGAGGCCTTACTTCAGCATCACCTGCCAGACAACCTGTAATACATAATTATAGTATTAGTTCCAAAGTTTTTTTTATAACAAACTAAAAAACTCATTTGAACTGTTTAGAGTCTCACCATCAAATCTGGTTAATGGCCACCGTTAATAAAATCATGAGTAACTCCGTGAAGGTGCAGGCCTGCGATGGTTTTATTGTATTAAAATTTTTATGTGGTCTACAGTAATTCCTGTACGCTGAATCCGAAAATGATATCCACTTTTCTCCATCACATACAGATTTTTCACAAAACGTGAGAGTCTAATGGATCGTTCTAGAACCTAAACATAACAACCATATTAATAAAAAATTTCTTTGTGGTAAACTAAATAATAATTTGATCTAAGTAAGAGTTTTAATTTTCTTCCCAATTTGTAAAAAAATCCTTACGTGATAGAAAAACATTTTTTTTCGAAATCTGCGTAGCTGATTTAAGGAAAATCCGTTATTTAAATCAAAACAACTTTTATGAAGTTTAAATTCGCAGGCCTGTGTAATTAAACGAAACCACTATAGACTAATTGCAAATATTACTCAAACATCTTATTTGAACAAATACGAAGTCTCCTTTTGCAAAAAAAAAAGAAGAAGAAATAGAAACAGCGCGAGTAATTGGTGTCAGGAAATAAATTTAATGCTTATAGACAAATTTATATGATTATTGTTAACGTTCTACTTCTCTTTTATGTCTTCTTTTGATCCATGAGCGTAAGTGATAAATAAAACACGACATTATTAGGATTATTAATTTTTAGAAGCAATTGACTGATCTAAATAATTATTAATTAAGTCAAGAAGAACCCTAATTAATATACAGAATAAGCCATAGAGAATATTTCAGCAGATAAAAGTATAGTGAAGAAGCTATCATTTTGCTATTGAACAAAATATGGCATGTTAATCTTTGTGAACCAAGATAATGTCACACATTTTCTCCTTATCTTCTCGGTTGTCATTCTATTGTAGTTTACTGCAGCAGACGATTTTACCATACATAAAGCAGGCCAAACTCTGAGCAATATCTAAATTTGTTTAGGGTTATATTCAAGCCTAAGTTCCTCTATAACTTTCCAAAATGCCTAAATGTTGGGCAAACGAAAATAAGGGTTTTAGACGTTTCTATCTTTATGTATAACCAACATATCTCACAGCCCAATGAGATTAGTTCAACGAATTAACTAGAAACAACATTGTTTATAAGTTCAATGTATGAAATAATCAAACCATTTTACCCACAGGTTAAATTAAGACCAATCTATAATTCACTCTTCACAATTTAAAAAAAAAGCACTCCCCGAATCCCTTGTTGTCGTATTAGTCCAAAGATATATAATTTTGGACGTCAGCACCTTGCACACAGCAGGGAATCGAACCCCAGATTTTAACTTTGTAAGTCTGTAAACTTACCGCTGACCCATAGGGGAACTTCCAATTCCCTACGCTCATGTGTTGTTTAGAATTGTAGTTATGGTGACTGTAAGGCCACCTATTGGTAAAAAACGTCAATTTAGAACATGTATTTAAATAATTTTAAATTTCCAAGCTCAGACACACCAAACAAATAATTATTTATAAAAGAAAGCTTACTAATAATCAATGTACACCCAACCCTGAACAATAACCTAAGCTGTCTTCAACTCATGTTATTTTATTTTTGTTATTTATAATTAATTTGTCTTTCATGTCTTTCAATGTATTGTATATTGTATTTCATATACTGTCCAATGTATTGTATATCGTATTTCCTTTACAAATTACATTTCAGATTACTGACGATGGAATGTGAAAATTCGGAAACGTCCTTTCAATTAACATGTTCTCTATTATTGCCATAGTTGTCATTTTATCTAATTAGATTTAGTTTTCCGTAAAGTGAATCCACTGTTCATCTACAAAATTTAATTATGTATAGAAACGTGTATTAAAATTTTGAAAATTTTTCTAAAACATATTATGCGCTAACGTATAGACAGAGATTTGGTTTAAACAAGTACATGTCACAACTGTAAGGAAGAAGGATGAACTGGCTAACTTCTGTACATAAACCTGTAAACAAAATTATGAAGAATAATACCTTATACAAGTGATTGATTCTACTCTTGTCCTCTCCAAATGGCAAGCAATGAGATATACGATAAAATGGTGTGCATATAATGAACTGTGAAATCTCTTACTCTATCATTTGGCTTAAGTAATGATCCATCACCAGATTACTGGAGTATGTTTTAGCTAAATTATCATTTCAAACTATCATAATACACACTGAATTATAAAAACCCGCCAAAAACCTATGACATTGGGTATAATGTGTATAGAATCAAAGAATAAAAACCCCCAAATTTAACTAGAAAATATACGAAAAATTCCTACGCAGAGTGATTTGTCTTTAACATATGTAGACGATGAAGATGTGTCTGCATACCCAGAACACATTGAATTTTTCAGTTTTATTGATGAGTTACTAAACTGCAACTCTGTGAGTCATTCTCCAGTATCTTCTTTACTGCCGTGAGAATGACAAGAACAGTATCACAAAACCTCGTGGAATTAATAACTGTATATACTTGTTCCCTCTTCCTAGCTGCAAAAAAGACTTTACTTGAAAAACTAATTTAACTTCCAAAATATGTTAATAAAATTATAATTGGATATAAGTAACATGTTAGAAAACGGACGTACTATTGCCATGGAGACACAAAGAACAATCAATAGTATTTCGTAACGAAGTTCCTGAAATGTTGTCGGAATTTCACCCAGTTCACCATCAAACCCCTCTCCAAGGTCTGTCAAGTCAAGATCTGATCCTTCCGCCACAGAAAGAAGGTCTTTCAGACTAATTGACGTCTCAGTACGCCTCACCACCAAAGAGGGTCTACGACTGTTGAAAATACAACACAGGTTAGACTGATTACGTTATGTATTTCAGGAAATTAATAATAACAATGGAAGATGAAATGTACCAAGAAAATATAATAATATAATGTTTAGCACGAAATTTTCTAAAAACTACAAATATAAGACAGATTAAGTTGTTTTTAATTGATAATAACAGAAACACAACGGTGTGTACTTGCTTTCTAGGTTGGCAATACAGTATTAGCTCCGTGATTTCTCTTTTTGTTAAGATACCTTCATGTCAAAGACCTAATTGAGGTAGATGTTTTGAGTAAAAAAAATGAAGTGATGAAAAAGTTGAAATCTTACTAAATCTTACACATATAACACAATTGAAGAAGAATATATAAGCTTATTTGTAACAGTTTACGAAATAGGTCAGAATCCAATAACAAATGAATAAATAATGACCCTAAAAGAAATATTCCTACGTTTTACAACACCATGTGAAACCAGGCGAAACCATGGTAATCATGAATAAAATATCTGTAAAACGTACAAATGTCTTTTTTTCCTCAATCTCCACAATATAGCTCTCAAAATATCTACACTAAGCATCTCCTATATTTAAAGACATACAAATATAACTTGCAAAGTTTTTTTGGTACACAAAACTTGAAGATAGCTTTTATATGCAGAAACATCTGTTAGCTGAGAAAATAATTTACCGTGTCGCTCCTGTAAAACAAAGTTCTACCACCTAAATGTGAAGC